TTTATTTACTTCTAGGAGAGACAGAGAGAGAGACAGCGTGAGCAGGGGAGGGTCAGAGAGAGAGGGAGTCACAGACTGAAACAGGCTCCAGGCTCTGAGCTGGCAGTCAGCACAGAGCCCGACGCGGGGCTCGAACCCACGAACCGCGAGATCATGACCTGAGCGAAAGTCGGACGCTTAACCGCCTAAGCCACCCAGGCGCCCCAACACACCACATATTCTTTATCCATTCATCAGTCGATGGGCATTTAGGCTTTTTCCATAATTTGGTTATTGTTGATAGCACTGCTATAAACATTGGGGTTCATGTGCCCCTACGAATCAGCATTTTTGTATCCTTTGGATAAATACCTACTAGTGCAGTTGCTGGGTTGTAGGGTAGCTATTTTTTATTTTTTGAGGAACCTCCACATTGTTTTCCAGAGTGGCGGCACCAGTTTGCATTCCCACAGCAGTGCAAAAGTGTTCCTTTTCTCCACATCTTCACCAACATCTGTTGTGTTCTGAGTTGTTCATTTTAGCCACTCTGACCACTGTGAGGTGGTATCTTATTGTTGTTTTAATTTGTATTTCCCTGATGATAAATGATGCTGAGTATCTTTTCATGTGTCAGCCATCTGGATGTCTCCTTTGGAGTATCTGTTCATGTCTTCTGCCCATTTATTCACTGGAATGTTTTTTGGGTGTTGAGTTCAGGCATGTTTTCTAACTTGCTCTGCAGTTCATTGAGTTGGCTGGTGGCTCGGCTGTAGTAACCCTTATCCCTGTGGCTATGCTTTAGCTCAAAGGCCAGGGTAGATTGCAGGAGCTGATGGGTGGCAAAGTGTAGCATTAAAAATTTTTCAAAAATCAGCCTCCTAAAAAGAAAGCGCCTATTGACGTCTCCACCAACAGTGTAAGGAAGGTTCTGTGTCCGCTTCTGCTGCCAGTCCTGGATGTAGTCATTCTTTTCCTCATTGCCACAGGAGAGACCAAAAATAGCTCCTTGTCATTTAGAAATTAAAAAAATTTTTTTTTTCATGAATTTGAGCATTATTGCGTTTGTTAGCAATTTGTATTCTTGCCAGTCTTTGCTTTTAAAAAAAGAAACTAGAAACAGATTAGTTTATTTTGCCTTAGCTGTATTACCGCCTCCTCACAGGGAAGAGTTGCTGGTGTGCGTGAGGGACTAATTCAGCCCCCGCAGAACTGTGGGTGCAGGGTGGCAGGGCTGCCCCAGGTCTTCCCCACATCAGGACTCACGGAGAAGGTGGTCACTCGGTGTTCTGGGGCCAGCGAGGGGCCAGGGTGTCTGGGTGGGAATTGGTGGGAATTTTCACTGCAGTTTTCAAACAGTAGATATTTAAACTGAACCCAGAAAGTTTAGAAGGAGAACATTTAAGAGTAACGGAACATAATTTCAGCTGATGTAATTTTAAGTGGTTTCCTAGTTATCCTGTGAACGCATTGCAGCCATCACTGTCTTGAGGCATACCTGCATATACTCATCTGTGACACATCACTAGGAAAGCCTCAGTCAGGTACTGCACCTGAAACCTCACGCCTAACACCCTCCCAGGTCCTCCTGTGTGGCGTGACTTGGGAAAATAATAGATGGGGATACTGTAGAAGGCACAGTTTCTAGAGTGAGTTTGCAGGTAGAAATTGGATTCTTGAGGAAGGGTCTGGAGTCGGGGGTGGGAGATGGGGTCACCACGAACAAAGGCTTGGGGTTGTGGGGGAAGAAACTGCAGAAATTGTGTTCATGTGTTCAGGGCATGGGGTATAGGCGAGTGTGACGTGTGCATGCACACAGCAAGCATTTTCCAAATGTCTGCTATGTCAGCCAGGTTCCTGTGTCTCCTGTCACAGAACTGGCCCTGGCAGGGGAAGGTGATGGTGCCTCAAGGGTAGGGTGGGCTTTCTTTCCTGAGAGGAGGAAGTGATTGTGGAATACTTTCTCTGAAAGAAAAGCCGTTTGAAGGTTGCAGAGTCAGAGAATTCTAGCCCCGCCCTGTGCAGCATGGCTGCCACTAGCCATTGTTGTGCGCTCAGAATGTGGCTATTATTGTAAATACACAGTAGATGTGAAAGATAGTACCAAAAAAAAGAATGTAAAATATGTCATTAGTAATTTGTATATGTTACTTTCATTTTAAAATGGTAACACTGTGGGGGCATCTGGGTGGCTCAGTTGGTTGAGCATCTGACTCTTGGCTTAGGTCATGATCTCACAGTTTATGAGCTCCATGTCGGGCTCCATGCTGAGTGTGGAGCCTCCTTGAGATTCTCTCTCCCTCTGCCCCTCTCCCCTGCTAACGCTCTCTCTCTTTCTGTCTAAAATAAAACAAAAACAAAACAAAAATAAAATAATAATAGTATGGATATATTGGGTTAAATAAGATAGAGTATTAAAATTCATTCTACCCATTTGTATTCATTCTTCCTGAGTTGGCTATTCACAAGTGTAAGTTCCATACATGGCTTACGTTATATTTCCTTGGGCAGCAGGATGAGTAGTAAGAAGGATGGGAGGAGGGATGGGTGGTCTCTGAGGAAGCTCTGAGGAGATTATTTAAACAAAGGGATGTCATGAAGCTTCCCATATGGGCCTGAGGGCACCCATCCAACTCCTTTAGGCTGATCTATATTCGTTTCAACTTAAGAGAGTAGGATTTCCACGGACGAATGGATCAAGAAGATGTGGTTTATCTATACCATGGAATACTACATGGCAATGAGAAACAATGAAATCTGGCCACGTGTAGTGACATGGATGGACCTTGAGGGTGTTATGCTGAGCGAAATAAGTCAGGCAGAGAAGGACAGATATCACGTTTGCACGTATAGGAGGATTAGGAGGAACTTAACGGAGGACCATGGGGGAGAAGAAGGGCGGAAATGGTGGGGGAAAGGGAGATGGCCAAACCATGAGAGACTCTTGATGCTGAGAACAAACTGAGGACTGATGGGTGTCGGGGGGAGGGGGGAGATGGGCATGGAGGAGGGCCCTTGTGGGGATGAGCACTGGGTGTTATATGGAAACCAACTTGACACTAAACTATTTGTAAAAAAAAAAAAAAAAAAAAAAGAGAGAGAGAGAGAGTGGGATTTCCCAAAATCCCAGTGTTCAGTTGTCACTTGCCCCACCTTCCCCCAGGACTCCGGTACGCCAGCAATCCCCAGCCTCACAAATCCCTGCCAGGACAGTGTTGTCCACTCTGGTTCCTCGTGTTCATTTAAACCATTTCTGCTGTAGGACTTGAAACCTAGCAACATCGTAGTAAAATCAGACTGCACGCTTAAGATCCTTGACTTCGGCCTGGCCCGGACAGCATGCACCAACTTCATGATGACGCCATACGTGGTGACGCGCTATTACCGGGCGCCCGAAGTCATCCTGGGCATGGGCTACAAAGAGAATGGTGAGTGCGGGCGGCACATGACTGCTGGTCACCACCAGCCTTGTCCCGTGAACCAGAGGAGGCACAATGTGGGGACTGCGTTATGTGCAGGTCATCCCGGCCCAAAATAAGTAATCTCCCATCTCTACTGGCAGAAATCCCCCACTGTTACAAATTCCCTTTCGAAGTGATTATCTGTGAACATCTATCAAAGTATGACATGTTTATTATAGAGTAGTATGCAAACCTGTAGCAGCAGCGGTACCCAAGACCTCCCCGGCCCACCTCCGGGTCTCAACCCCCAAAGGAAGCCCCATCCTCATTTCTAGCACCACAGCTTGCTTTTACTTACCGGTGAACTTGGTATAAATGGATAATACATGTTCTCTTCTGTGTAAAATTGCTTTTTAACATCAAAACTTAACCTACTCTAGCAATGTCAGAGCTCTTTGTAACTTAGCTCTTGACAGATTTGTTGAAAGCACTCAATCACATTTCCTTGCTAAGAGTCCAAAAGTTTGCACAAGCCATCGGGGAGTGAGCTGTGCTTCAAGTTTTAGATGCTCTGTAAGCAGTGCTCCCACTCTGATTGATGAGGGACACAGCGCTGTGGCGCCCTGCTGGCTCCTCCCGCCCCACCCCCACCCTCACTAAATAGCCCGGCTGAGGCCTGGGGTTCAGCTGGGTCCCACTTAAGAGGGGGAAAGGCCGGAGGTCGGGACACCTCTGGCAGGTCCTCACCTCGACCCAGAGGAGCAAGCTGCCCCTGTGAGGTCCTGACCCCGCAGTTTAGCGAGGACCATTCATATGGGGGTGTCATGTCCATATGTTACAAAAGCTCCTGTTGATAAACTGGGTCTGCCTCTGTCGGGAGGGGGTTTGAGAAAGAAGCGTGGGGGTCTCTGGCTGGTTTTAACCACCTGGTGTTTGGTAGTGGACATCTGGTCTGTCGGGTGCATCATGGCAGAAATGGTCCTCCATAAAGTCCTGTTCCCAGGAAGAGACTGTATCCTTCATAGGGAGAGGCCCAGCACCGGCCATGGGGTGGGGGGTGGGGGCTGGGGCGGGCACGTGGCCCGCAGACAGCTGTGCGGGGACACCCGCCGCCTCTTTCTGGGGTTTTGTTTGCTTCTCAAGCTGGAAAGCACAGCAATCTGTGGCTCTCAAGCCCAGATTGCCGCAGACTGAAAGCCAGAGGAGAGGCCAGCAATCATTTGCACTGTGTAACAAGCTCACCCTTAGCAGCAATTTATTTTTCCATATTTGTGTGTTTGGTACACTGTTAGAATTCCTTTTCTTCACCTTTGTTTTGTTCATGGCACTTCATAATTTTGTCATTTCATTTTATTTTCAGTTGATATCTGGTCAGTGGGGTGCATCATGGGAGAGCTGGTGAAAGGTTGTGTGATATTCCAAGGCACTGATCGTATCCTTCCCGGGACCTTCCCGGCCATGCTTTCCATAAATGCCAAAGGCGGCAGGAGCTCAAAAGGAAAATGTTACAATTCTAGACTGTGTTCTAAGGGGGTCTTTACTGTGTTTGTTAGTGTCACAAACCAAACGGTTCAACTTTACGTTTTCTTTTTCACTTGACTACCTTGTAATAGTTTTATTGAGGCTTAGAGTTCAGTTAAACTGATTATATTAGTTATTAATTTTATCAAAAATAGCTTAGAGATTTATTTACCCTTTGACAGATGTATTCTGATATTTAAGTGAAAATACCATTTATTTAGTTCATCAGTTAATTTAATAAGGAAAGTTGTGATCTCAATAGGCCAGCACCCTTGTGTCGTTTAATTAGCATACCATTTTGTTAGTTATCTGTATGGATTAAAATATTTTCCCCCCAACGTAAGAACTGAAGCACACTACGTAAAACTGAAATAAAAAGAGGGTAAAAGGAAAAGTTTGTGAGGAACAGTATATGTTAATTTTCTTGCCCGTTACTCTGCTGACATTTTGTAGAAATTTTTAAAAGATCCATCTAGAAGGTTCTTTTGTGAAACACCTGGAGAAGTCTTAAATATAGAATGCAAAAGATTAACTTATACTGTGGTTAGCAAATCGTATTAATGACATCAAGCATAAAAGAGAAGAGACAATGTATGAGTTGTAACAGCTTTTTTTCCTCATATTCCTCCATCTTCAATATTTTTTACTCTAACATGGTTCTTCACATATTCCCTTTTTCATTTGTGTTCTAACCACTTACGATTTTCGTTAGTCTTTGAATTCGTTTTTTTCGTTATGAAAGCTTAAAAGTGGTCTCTGTCCATTGACAGATTGATGGTTAATTTTAAAGGAAATTGAGCTGTGTAGTCAGTGTCTTGTATATGTTTTATTAAAGTTGCTTTCGTTTTTTATAATTTTATAAGGGTGATTTTTCTTGTGACATAAATTCTTTACAGCACAAACATGGAATGAAAAGATTTTGTTCCTGTCATTTTATTTGCCTTCCTTGACATTTTTCACATCACAGATTTTATGTGGAGTTAAATACAGCATTTTACTTTGTTCTAATAAATTTTCCAGCAGTTTTCCATAGCCTTTCCTTTGATTTGCTTGTTCCAAACTGTAAATAAGGAGGACTTTATTCTGAAAAACAGACTCAGTTTAAAAAGGAAAAGTTGATATATTCTAAAGATAAATAATTTAGAAGTATCTACTTAACATTTCGATTGTCTCAATTCTTATTCATTTTATGCCTTTCCTTTTTTTAATTAACTAAGAAATGTTTTCTTCAGAAAGTATAAAAATGAAAACTGTGGATACTTTTTGGAGCATTATTAAGTAATTTAAAAATCCTACTTTACATAGTAACATCTTGCAGTGTCAGTAATTAATAGTTTTCTATATAAGGCCACCTAATGTCATTCTCCAAAGTACACACCGAGATTAACATCATTCTCCAAGGACAGCTTTGCCCACCCCTTCAAACATTAGATTAAAAATTGCTAGGATGGAAAAAGATTCTGGAAAGCAGACCAAAGTTCTCTGAGCTTTGCTTTCAGATGCATGATCTGGGATGGAACAGGAGAGCCTGTGCACACAGTAGCCCATGAGAAAGAGAGCGCTTCGGCCAGACCGCCTTCGGTGCATGTGATGGCTGTGCTCCCTGGACGAGTCAGGGCCTCTCTGAGCCTTGGTTCCTCTTGGCTGTAATGAGAGGCCCGCACAGCATAAGGCACAGAGCACACGCACACACCTGGAGGGTCAGCCAGGCTTGCTGGGATGGCCTTTTCCTTTCCTGCCACCCTTTAGTCTACAAAAACGACCCTTATATCATGAACACACTAGACACACATTGAGCACCCACTGTTTCTAGGCTCCTGTCCAACTCACACTGGGGACGCTTGTTCTAGATGCTGAGCTAGGGCCAGACTGTCTGGGGCCAGAGCAGCAGCAGGGAGACAAGGGGCTGTTCCAGTTGTTTGGTGGGAAAGCCTTGCACGCCACACCATTCTGCCTCGGCACCTGTAGGAGCCAAGGAGTGAGGGAAGCGAATACACTGGTGACTCAGTGGCCAGGACTCCTCTCCCAAGCAAGGCTGCAGACGGCCAACATTCTGGAACAATGGAGTTGTCGTCTTAGTTCTTCCTGAGAGCGTGTTCTGCCACCTGGATTCTTTCATCATGATGTAATTGCATCTTCCTGAAACAAACCTCGATTAGATTTTTCTAAAAATTTTTAAAAACTACTTTTTAAACATTGCTGCTTACATGATTTTTTTTTTCTGGCCCACATTCTCTTGCATAATTGTTTACAGTTTCAGAATCCCTCACCAGCTCATTATTCCAAGCCCCCTGTAAAACAGGCAAAGCTGGTGTTTTCTGCATTTTACAAAGAAGGGAGTTGAGACCCAAGGAAGACTGACTGCTCCACACCTGACGCGTGTCTAGTGCACAGTGGAGTCTAGAACCCGGGTCATATGCTTTGAAAGGAAATAAAATGCGCTCCAGAGTACTGCAGTGATGCGCATGGTCAGTGCCAAGTAAAACTGAGTGACCTCCCAAAGCTGTCAGTCTAAGCTGGGTTACAGGAAGGCATGTTGTCCCGTGAGAGAGGACGGGGTGTGGGCTCAGAAAGCCCTGGCTCACGGGCCACACCCCACTGTAGACGGAGGACTCCGATCTGTCTGCTTTAGGGAGATTTCAAATCTAAGTAGCCTTGATGTGAAAATTTATTTCGGTCTGCCTGAATAATATTTATCTAATTCCATCCTTAATCACTTCTGTCATAAGGATTCGTCAGTTACAAGATTAACTGTATTTTGATCTAAAAGGGGAAGGCATACATTCCTCAGTGTGTTGGTTTAACAAACTATGATCAGAGTTTATAAAGGAGCAGAGTTTTTAAAAGTAGTGTCAACTTTGGAGACCTAAACCACCATGTGAATATTATTTCAGAATACCTCGGCTGCCCCAGTGGGACAGCCTAGTTAATTACCTGTCAAGAGGTAGAAATAGGATCTAAGTGTTTCTTTGAATGATGCTACTCCATGTAATGTGACTGAAAGCCCCTTCAGTTGTATTTTCCTCAAGAGACTCCTTAGATATTGATCAGTGGAATAAAGTCATTGAGCAGCTAGGAACGCCGTCTGCAGATTTTATGAAGAAACTTCAGCCAACCGTGAGGAATTATGTAGAAAACAGACCAAAGTACCCCGGAATCAAGTTTGAAGAACTCTTCCCAGATTGGATATTCCCATCAGAATCTGAACGAGACAAAATAAAAAGTAAGACGCTATTTCTTCCCCACCCCACCATATCCATTTTCACAATCCGGGGAACACTTTCATCTTTTTGGGTTTGCATTCTGACACCTATGAACATTAGGAGAAAAAAGAGTTGAAACCCTCAGATAAAGTTATTTATAGGCTAGAATAAAGGCTTGGTGGAGGGAAGGCTTAAAAGACCTAAAAGTTCTGTCTCACTAAAATGGCCTCACCGAAGCCTTTGGTCCAAATAAAAAGGTTCACGTCAGTCTGAAAGACTCTGATGTTAATTACAGCAATTGGAATTAACAGTTTTCAGGTGTAAGGAATAAGAAACACTTGAATTAAGATTCTAGCCCAACTAAAGAGTTAGAAACCATATTACAGTTCAATTTAAAAATCTCCTCCTCACTTCCTCCTGTGCCTGCCTCTAAAAATGTGATTTAAGGAAAAGAATAGATTTCTCTCCACATCAGGGCAAACTGGCTCAGTCAGAAAAACCCCTTGTCTCCTTTGCCCAGCCATGTGAGCTTTAATTGCAGAAACCTGGGTGAGCCTTCTATTTGACTGAGTTCTTGAGCTTGTTGGGTTTATTCCCAACAACGATCTCTAGATTTTTTTTTTTAAGTGTCTGTTGCCAACATTCTATACAGATCGGCATAGCAGAGGTATCCTTGAAGTGTTCCCTAGTGTGCAAACGTGAGATCATTTATATGGTTGAAAAGGTCTGCTCTAATATCATTTTGATGGGACATCAAGGGGGAAAAAAGCCTGCCCATGTTTCTTGCCTGCACTTTAGGCAGTGCTGCCCTTCGCTCTGATCCTGGGCCTTCCCTGGCGGGACCTCCCCCCACCCCCGCCAGACACCCCACAGCCTCTGGTTGGCCTGTGTCCACCTGCTACCCTTTCCCCAGGCCCTGCCACCCCTCCTCTCCTCCCAGATCCACAGGCAAGAAATAACATTTGAAAACCTAATTTGTAGTGAAAGTGGTTGCTTGGCTTATTCTTAAAGAAAAAGGCTCGATTAGTCAGGAACCGATTACAAATTGCTCAAAGATGATACATCTTTGTTCTCTCTGTACTGTCATGTTTTCTTTAGACGATTTCCTGTGTATGAACATTAGTTTATTAATCTAATGTTTGTTTCCACCCCAGCAAGTCAAGCCAGAGACTTGTTATCGAACATGTTAGTGATAGACCCCGACAAGCGCATCTCTGTGGACGAGGCTCTGCATCACCCTTACATCACTGTTTGGTATGACCCTGCTGAAGCAGAAGCGGTAAGCACCCGTTTTCAAAAGGCTTGTGTGTAAAGGCAGGGTCAAGCATCTCCTCTCCTTTAGTCCAGAGTGGCCACATCAGGATAGCAAGTTCTAGATTTCACAGGACTCCAGAATACAAAGCGGCCTACGGTTGTCTGGGACCTGGGTCCCTTTTGGGAGACTTGCTGCAGGGACTGCAATTGGGTGTAGCTCAGGAGCGAACATGCTTCTGCGGTGGTGATACTGTTCCTTTATGTAGATGCTCGTGTGTGATCATAATAATGTCACCATTTGCTCAGCTTCCGTTGTGTGCCTGCCAGCACTGTGCCGTGTGCGCCTTGCTCAGAACACATTCTAAAGGCCACCCCGTCAGAGAGGCTAAAAAACTCACTGAAAAATCACAGGTTTACTTATCCTTCCCTGAGGCGCCTGCCGGGGAAGCTCCACTTCCGGGTTTGGCGCCCAGGTGCATTTTTCCATAGCTGCTGGCATGGGTGAGCTCTGGCTACGAGCGAAGTAACCACATAGCGGCAGGGTCACTTGCTGCCATCACAGAGCACATTTTTATGAGTTGGCCTATGGATTTAACCACCATGTTAAACACTGTTTTGTGTGAAAGGAATCCCAGTTATAAACATGTGATCTTGTTAAGCAGGTTTTTGGAACAGCTCAGTGTGAGGTGGGGATTGGGTTTGGGGGCTCCACCATGAAGCACAGTGAACCTGAGCTCTGTTCCAAACCTTCCGGATTTCTTAGCCCACCCCTTGTCTGGGGCGGGTCTCCAGAAAGCAGCCTGTGATTGCTGCTTTTATGGTTCCATTTGGGCAAATGTCATTAGAGTATTTTGAGGTCATGTGATTCTTAAGAGGGCCATAAAAGTTGTATGTTTTAGGTTAATTTTTTCCCTATTTATTTTGATTCCGAAACTGATGTAATATCACACTTATGAGGAAATCTGTAAGAAGCCACGTATTGCATGAAAGCCACATGATAAATAGATTAGAATCTTCAGAGTGATACATAGAAAACCCGACAGACTCCACCAGAAGCCTACTAGAACTGATCCAAGAATTCAGCCAAGTTGCAGGGTACAAAATCAACGTACAGAAATCGGTTGCATTTTTATACACCAATGATGAAGCAACAGAAAGAGAAATCAAGAAACTGATCCCCTTCACAATTGCACAAAAAACCATAAAATACCTCGGAATAAACCTAACCAAGGATACAAGAGATCTGTATGATGAAAACTATAGAAAACTTATGAAGGAAATTGAAGAAGACACAAAGAAATGGAAAAACATTCCATGCTCATGGATAGGAAGAATAAATATAGTTAAGATGTCATTACTACCTAAAGCACTCTACACATTCAATGCAATTCCAATCAAAATTGCACCAGCATACTTCTCAAAACTAGAACAAACTATCCAAAAATTTGTATGGAACCACAAAAGACCCCGAATAGCCAAAGTAATACTGAAAAATAAAACCAAAACGGGAGGTATCACCATCCCAGACTTCAGCCTCTACTACAAAGCTGTCATCCTCAAGACAGTATGGTATTGGCACAAAAACAGACACATAGACCAATGGAACAGAATTGAGAACTCAGAAGTGGACCCAAAAGTATACAGCCAACTGATCTTTGACAAAGCAGGAAAGAATATCCAATGGAAAAAAGACAGCCTTTTTAACAGATGGTGTTGGGAGAACTGGACAGCAACATGCAGAAGAATGAAACTAGATCATTTTCTCACACCATGCACAAAAATCAACTCAAAATGGATAAAGGACCTGAACGTGAGACAGGAAACTATCAACACCCTAGAGGAGAAAGCAGGAAACAACCTCCTTGACCTCCACCGCAGCAACTTCTTACTTGACACATCCCCAAAAGCAAGGGAATCAAGAGCAAAAATAAACTGTTGGGACCTCATCAAGATTAAAAGCTTCTGCACAGCCAAGGAAACAACCCAGAAAATTAATAGGCAACCAACGGAATGGGAAAAGATAGTTGCAAATGACATATCAGATAAAGGGTTAATATCCAGAATCTATAAGGAACTCACCAAACTACACGCCCGAAAAACAAACAACCCAGTGAAGAAATGGGCAGAAGACATGAACAGACACTTCTCCAAAGAGGACATCCAGATGGCCAACAGACACATGAAACGATGCTCAGCATCCCTCCTCATCAGGGAAATACAAATCAAAACCACACTGAGATACCACCTCACGCCAGTCAGAGTGGCTAAAATGAGCAAATCAGAGAACTCTAGATGCTGGCGAGGATGTGGAGAAACGGGCACCCTCCTACACTGTTGGTGGGAATGTAAACTGGTACAGCCCCTCTGGAAAACAGTGTGGAGGTTCCTCAGGAAACTAACAATAGAACTCCCTTATGACCCAGCAATAGCACTGCTAGGAATTTACCCAAGGGATACAGAAATGCTGAGGCATAGGAGCACATGTACCCCAATGTTCATAGCAGCACTCTCCACAATAGCTAAAACATGGAAAGAGCCTAAGTGTCCATCAACAGATGAATGGATCAAGAAGATGTGGTTTATCTATACCATGGAATACTCCATGGCAATGAGAAACAATGAAATCTGGCCATGTGTAGCCACATGGATGGACCTTGAGGGTGTTATGCTGAGCGAAATAAGTCAGGCAGAGAAGGACAAATATCATATGTTTGCACGTATAGGAGGATTAGGAGGAACTTGATGGAGGAACAAGGGGGAGAAGAAGGGGGGAAATGGTGGGGGAAAGGGAGAGAGGCACACCATGAGAGACTCTTGAATGCTGACAAAAACTGAGGACTGATGGATGTGGGGGGGAGGGGGGATGGGCATGGAGGAGGGCACTTTGGGGATGAGCACTGAGTGTTATGTGGAAACTAATTTGACAATAAACTATTTGTAAAAAAAAAAAAAAGAATCTTCAGAGTGATTTCATGGTCTTCATGCCTCATTCCTTTTATAACCATTGATTTTAGCTGTGACTTAATTTTCAGCCACCACCTCAGATTTACGATGCCCAATTGGAAGAAAGAGAGCATGCAATCGAGGAGTGGAAAGGTAAGGGCTGCTTTTGCCCCTTACTCATGGCACTTCTTCAAGTCCTGTAAAGGGGTGGGGGGAGGCTTTTCACTCATTGCAGAAGGCTTCCCAGGGCAGGGGCAGAGACCGAGACCCTCTTGGCCCATCTCTTGCTCCTCCCTAGTAGAGAAGGAACTTGGAGATAACAGAATTAGAGAGGCGTGCATACGAACTGCGTACCGTTTGTTTCCAAAGATCGTAAGACTGACCAAACAACCCACAGCAAACTCAGCCAGTAATCAGGAGGTTGAACTAACAATTTTTCATTAAAAAGTAGGATCGAGGGTCATTGAGAAAGAACCCTGGTCAGTGCAGGTCAGAAGTGGTGACGATGGGTCCTGCCCAAGCAGATTATGTCTGCTTTTCCCCGGGCATCCGGGATGCCATGATCTTCGTGAGCACTCAGCAGGGTGACTCACATGGCCACACTCTGTGGCCAGGAGCAGGCTTGTAGGCCTCATGAAGGGCTTGCCATGTGCTCATCCTGGTTCACAAATACCAAAATTGTAGGAGCCCCTAATGCATCTTTAGCAGGTTGTTAGCTTTTCTCCCCAGTGAGGATGGAGCAGACTGAAGTTGAAGCCAAGAAGTGACTGAGGAATTTGGATTAATTTCTGGCCAGTCTGGAGGGGCTTCTGGCCCACATATGGACACTGGTTTATTTGGAGAATCCCAAATAACGATGGAGAGAAACCTGTGCAAACAGTATGAAAGCGTCCAATACTTTAAAATGCTCTGTGAGAGCCACTTTGCTAGTCCCCTGCCCCTCGTAAAACCCCCCCATGTGGATTTGCAGCTGCCTACATTTTTGGCTGCCTTGACAGTTGGGTTGAAAAGATGTAATGGATCAACAAAGTGTGGGTGGTGTGGTCTAAGTAGACTATATTATTGAATTAACCATGTATCACAATTAAAAACAAGATACCACAGTGCCCTTGGAGGGGTTTCAGTTGATTTGGAAGCAGGGTTCAGAGATGCAGAGAAACTGACGGAGGCTTTTACCTTGCATTTGTGTTTGAAGAGCTGATTTACAAAGAAGTACTGGACTGGGAAGAAAGAAGCAAGAACGGTGTTGTGAAAGATCAGCCTTCAGGTTAGTGATTGTTTTAATAGTTGATGTTTCCCTTTCACCTGTACAGCTTTTCCAAATGGCAGTGGTGTGTTAAATGCCAGTTTGACTGGCCCTGGATCTGGAAGCTCCTCGTGTGAGGTTGTCTACCTGTTTGGGTTTGTCTTGGCAGTGGGAACTCCCATGTTACTGACGGGCCAGGCACCAAGCTAACTGCATTGTAGACAGTCTTATCTCATGCTTGCAACTGCTGCCATCAGCTCCATTTACAGACGTGGGAGTTGAATTTAAAACATTTCCAGTGTTTTAATTTAATGAGCGCCTGGGTGGCTCAGTCAGTTAAGCATCCGACTTCGGCTCAGGTCATGATCTCACAGATTATGGGTTCAAGCCCCACGTCAGGCTCTGTGCTGACAGCTCAGAGCCTGGAGCCTGCTTCAGATCCTGTGTCTCCTTCTCTCTCTGCCCCTGCCCTGCTCTTTTGTTCACTCTCTCTCTTTCTCTCAAAAATGACTAAATATTTAAAAAAATTTTTTTAAATAAAATGAAACGTTTCTAATGTGCATGACCCTCTTCATACTTGCCCCACGCAATTAAAAAAGAAAATCAGTATAAATAAAATGCAATTTGATTTTCTTTTGAGAAAAACTGTTCATATGATTCTCCCATATTTCTACGTGGTCTACCTAATGGTAGATTCATTGTATGACTGCTAGAGACATATGTGGTGTTACTTTAGGTCCGTAGGATCCCATTTGCTTCCTAAATGAAATCCTTCAAGTTATCTTTTCTTCCTCACCTCACACACACCCCTCCCCCAAAAGCACATGCACACACACACACAGAAGTGCAGATCACACTGCTTACTTTCTCTTGAATTTTATATTCAGCATCACGTATGTGTCAAGCATCTAGAGATTATGTAACTTCTAGTTTAGGCGCTTGTAGTTAACTAAGCACAAATTTCAGACTGCAAGCACTGCCCTCTGAAAGCTTGAATGTTTTATTTTTGCTCAAACCAGACTAAAATATGGATGGTAGGAAATAGGATAGTTTCACATACCTTAAAAAATCACAATGTCATTTTTCTGGCTGTATAAAACAAAATGAACAAGAGGCTACTAAATCTTTTCCTTTTTTGCTCTGCTTTGTTTGTATACAGTCTTTGCTTCTGCTAACAGATGTTTTTATTACAAAAGAATTCTTCAAAGGTTGCTGCTTTTTCCCTCGGACAAGGTGTTGATGGACTCTTGAACCCTATTTGGGTTTTGGCCTTTTTGTGACACTGATAGTTGTAGGATGAGTTCAGCAGTTTTTCTATTAAAATCTTTTTAAAAGCAGATATTAAAAAAATTTTTTTTAATGTTTATTTATTTGTTGGGGGGAGGGCAGAGACAGGGAGACAGAATCCGAAGCAGGCTCCAGGCTCTGAGCTGTCAGCACAGAGCCCCACACAGGGCCTGAACTCACAAACTGCTAGATCATGACCTGAGCTGAAGTCAGACAGTTAACTGACTGAGCCGCCCAGGGGCCCCTAAAGCAGCAGGTATTTTTTAAGATGATTATACACATGCGCATATGCGGTGTTTCTCCCCTGGGAAGAAAAGGAGAATGTTGCAGGTAGGCCAGGGAACCGCAGAGCATGGAGCTGAGGAGTGGCCTGACCTCTCACTGCCTGAACCTGCAGCAATGTCGTGCCTCAGATTTTATTATATTTGGTTTTCTTAGCACAGATGCACCAGTAAGTAGCAACGCCACGCCTTCCGAGTCGTCCTCCATCAACGACATCTCATCCATGTCCACCGAGCAGACGCTGGCCTCAGACACAGACAGCAGCCTCGATGCCTCGACGGGACCCCTGGAAGGTTGTCGATGATAAGTTCCGAGACGCAAAGCTTGTCATCGGTGAAGGAACTCTCGCTTCCATGGGCCTGAAGTGCTTGGGGGTGGTTGATGGAACCAAATAGAAAAAACTCCATGTTCTGCATGTAAGAAACACGATGCCTTGCCCCTACTCAGTTCTAATAGGATTGCCTGCCTAGATTATAAAACGAAGCAGATCATGTCTGAAGGAAACAAGTACAAGCCACACTTTTACAGATTATGTTCAAGGTCATTTCAGGTGAGCAATTAGAATAGGTGATTTTTTTTTTTAAGTTGTACGGTTAATAGTGGTGACAATTTCTCATCCTCAGTAACTGTTGGGACTTCATGCATGTGACCACATGTGCTTGCTCGAACTTGCCATCTAGCACTTTGGAAATCAGTATCTAAATGCCAAATAATCCTCCAAGTAGTGCTGCTTCTAGAATGATCTCTTAATCCTCTGAAGTAATTTGGTGTCTGTCCAGAAAAAATAGATTTGTGTGTATTAATTGGCCACCGTCATATTATCATATCTTCTTTTATGGTATGATTTATTCTATCTTTTGTATTTGAGAAGGAATATAATTAAATCTATTTAATAAATAAAACATACAACTTTTCTTAAATTTGTCATGTTTTGGGCTGAGAATTATCACTGCTAAAACCAAGACACTTCTAGGGACACTTTGTTTCCTCTAAATTGTCTTAGTCTGGAATGATTGTGCATTCAGCTTTATTGCATGATAAAATTTTAAGTTTTGTGCTGCTTAGGACATATATACCTTTAAAATCCTATCTACCCTTACCCCTCTTTCCTGGTCTTCTGGACTTATTAATTTAAAATGCCGCCTAAAACTTAACCTTCTTTATCAGGCACTTAACACTCCACTTCGATGACCTGATGGCCAACAGATTCTTGAATCCATTAGGCGAGGGTAGAATTTTACGAAACGGTCCCTGAAGGCGACCGCAGTCACTTCCTAAGTGCTTGCTTTGCCCGAGACTGCTCAGGGTTCTCCCTTACTTTCCATCCTGCAAGGTGAGATGTACCACCTCCCCAGGCAGCGTTTCTGGTTTCCAATCTAACATCTTTGCATGATTTTCTTTCTTTGCTGAAAGAAACCACATTAAATGTCCCCCCGCCCCCCCCCCCCCCCCCGCCTCGGGTCTGTTTTAGGAAGCATGGTGACTCAGAAGACCTGTGTGGTGGTGATGGCTTATACACCTTCCCTTCCCCCCCCCCCCCCGGGTCTGTTTTAGGAAGCACGGTGACTCGGAAGGCCCGTGTGGTGGTGGGTGTTTCCACATTTCCTTTTCCTGAGGGAAACCCATGAATTTTCTGGGAAAAACTCCTCACAGGGATATGGAGGAAGCACCGTCAAGAGTAGTGATTGAGTCTTTTCTGATTTAAAAATGCTCACCTGAAATTGATGCTTTCAGACTTTCTGATGTGGAAATCATTGGGAGTTCACTAAGATACTGAGTATTGAAGTGTCACTACAGAAATGGAGTTACAGTGGTCACATTTTGACCACCTGTGCTCATGATGCTTGTCCCTTGAGCTTATTGTGTTACAGATTCATACCTTGTGTTTCACTGTTGCGGAAACTATGGACTGGGTCAACATTCTATAGAATGTGTGTTCTGAGGAGGAGCTTTGATAAGAAAGTCTATCATAAATATTACCTGAAATATACGATTCTGTCTGCACCAGTTGCGTATCTTATTGGTTGGTCTTATCACTGGAAACTGGAACCCTTGACGGAAAAACATCATCTTGAAGTAAGAGATAGTTTTATATTGTGAGGTTTAGACACATTCAAGTACAAGACGGAAATACTAACTTGGACTGAAGCAGAAACACCTAGTACATGGCTTAGGGTGGTTCTAGTACATGGCTTAGGGTGGTTCTGGTGTCAGAGGCCTGACGGTATAGTGTAGAAAGTTATCACCACACACATACAAACATCTCACAACGGCCTTCTTGCTAACGTGCACTCTTCAAAAAGACTTTACTAAATCTATAGAAAGCAAAGCAAAGAAAGGAGAACCTTTAAATTGCATTGTCTGCCCTAGGCTGACGCGAACCCGGCTCGGGGATGCCGCGGGCACAGCCAGCTCCTGCCCGCTGGGCGCCCCCGCAGACTGGCTTCCGGCTCGCTCTTTTCTCCGTGCGTGCACGGGGGCAAGGAGCTGTGCTGGTGTGGATGGCTTTCCTGCCAAGCCCCCCTTCCACCGGGTTGCAGCGAGGGCTCCTAGGACAGGCCACACAGGGCTGCAGACAGCAGAGCCCCGCAGAAATACCTCACCCCGCTTCCGGGTCCTCCGTCCCGAGCCGAGATGCGCCAGGGTCCTGGTGCAGCGCAGACCGTGTCTCACCGCCCTCCGTGGATGAATGCTGACGTTAGACAAAGAACCAAAACGTGCTCAACTTTTTCATCTTTTCTATTTTATTTTTGTAATTTATATTGTACACAACCCTGGAAGTAACTATTTTGGACACATATTTTTATAAACCAGGTAATTTATTATTAGCCTGGAATTTGGACTAGGTTTATTTTATTTGTTGGCTTAGTTTTCAGTCAAAAAGGAAATGACTGCCTCCCCCTCTGTCGGGTCTTGACCTCAAGAGCAGGTAGAGTCTATGAGAGCAGGAGAACATTGTGGAAACACGGACTGCTCAGTATTGATCAGTTGTGGTCGCGGAAACGGAAGTGGGGCTCTGTTTCTGTCTTTGGGACACAGAGCCCGGAGCCTCAGTGCTGAAAGGAGAAAACCCTTGGCAGGGCCCCTCGCTGACACCCCTGGGTGGGATCCCGGTTTAATCTAGATTCGATACCGTGTGAGTCATGGTAATGATGTACGAGTTTGTCTGGTTGACTTCTAATGTACTCCGCTGGTGTTTCATACTGGTAGTGAATACAGGTGTGACCTTTCAGACTGCATATCTCAAAAGTAACATTGCCTAATGTTTTATAATAAAATATATTATGTGTGTTTTGATTGGTGAAAATAATATAGATACATTTTAAAAGACAAGTGTATAGCATGTCCAATTCTTGTGTGTTTTTAAGTGACAATTGACTCTCTTTCTACATCACCATCTCCGATTACAGATTTAACATGAACACGGTCAACGTCGGAGTGTCGTCATTTACAGCAATATTAGCAAATCGTTTTAACTGAAAGTCAAAACATGTCTTGGACTTCTCTCCCTGAAAATATTGTGCAAATTTCTCAGTTTTCAAAACTAGGCAAGTACAAAATCAAGTATTCCCAGTATTGGTGTAATCGTTTTTCTCACAAGGCATGGCCAGGAGAATCCAATCATCGGTCTTTCCTCGTATTACTTAAAACGTAATTACTTAAAATTACTTAAAGTCCTCATATTACTTAAAATCGTTAATGGTGCCTGTGTGCTTGTGGTTTTGTGCACAGGATGAACCACCTTGATTTTGCTTCTGTTTCTGAGGCACTTTAAGATGGTCACAACTGAAAACCACAGGATTAGGAGTGCCCTTCATGGCTCACTTTCTTTTCTCTGCTTTTTATTTATTTTTAAACATTTTTTAAATGTTTTATTTATTTCTGAGAGAGAGAGAGAGAGAGAGAGAGAGAGAGAGACAGCGTGAGCAAGGGAGGGTCAGAGAGAGAGGGAGATACAGAATCTGAAGGCAGGCTCCAGGCTCTGAGCTAGCTGTCAGCACAGAGCCTGACACGGGGCTCGAACCCACGAACCATGAGATCATGACCTGAGCTGAAGTTGGACACTTAACCGACTGAGCCACCCAGGTGCCCCTCTTTTCTCTGCTTTTTAAAAGGGCTAAAATCAGGGGTGCCTGGGGGCTTCATCAGTTAAGCATAGCCTCTGTCAGTTAAGCGTCCGGCTCTTGGTTTCTGCTCAGGTCATGATCTCCCAGTTTATGAGTTCGAGCCCCACATCGGGCTCTGCGCAGACAGCTCAGAGCCTTCTTGGGATTCTTTCTCTCTCTCTCTCTCTCTCTCTGTCCGTCCCTCCCCTGCTTGTTCTCTCTCTCTCTCTCTCTCTCCCCGTCTCAAAAATAAACAAAAAAAGATTTTTAAAATAAAAAATAATAAAAATAATAAAAGGGCTAGAATCATTCCAGATAGATGAGTATCAATCTTATTTTTAAAGCTCTCTAGAGAAGGAAAACGTGCCCCTTGATATGGGTCTGGGTTCCATCTCTCTAGCATACCCCCTTCAGCACAGACAGTACTAAAATACTTCTTAGTTATTGACTGACATGGTGACTGTAGTGGGGTGGGGCTTTTTGGTAGGGGGGAGGGTAATCCTTCAGAACAACCTAATATCCTGAAGATTCTATGGCACTTTATATGAATTTAAGCATAAGGTTACCTTAGGCAATAAGGCAGTTACTCAATATTTTGTTTTTTATCAGGAGAACTGGTAACAAACTGACAGAGTGGGCAGTCATGTCTGGCTGAGACCGTATGCGACTGGGATTTAGGAGGGACATGCCCATCGTGGCCAAGGGGAACTTGTCATTCACCACGTCCTCAAGGCCCTTGGCCACAGGCTGCTTCACAGTTGGAAAGACCAAGGCTTTGAGGGCCTGGGGTTCTTGTGAGCAACGGTGTTTCCCACTACCCTTTCTCTGCTGGTACTTCCTTTTTTTAAAGTTTATTTATGTTGAGAGGGAGAGAGTGTGTGTGTACATGAGCAGGGGATAGGCAGAAAGAGGGGGAGAGAGAGAATCCAAGCAGGCTCTGTGCTGTCAGTACAGAGCCTGATGCTGGGCTTCAGCCCACGAATCATGAGATCGTGACCTGAGCAGAAATCAAGAGTCAGACGCTTAACCAGACGAGCCACCCAGGCACCCCTCTCTGCTGGTGCTTTAGAGTTGGAAGGGAAGTTCTCTAACACAGCCCCAGCCGCGCACGACCCTGAGGAGCTGCACCTGGCGGAAGTCGGGAGAGCTTGCAGAGCCTCCACTCACTGCCTTATGTTCCTGCAGCTGCAGAACTTTGGCGGACTGAGGCAGACGGGGTCCTCTCCCAAGAAAAAGGCTGTGAGCACAACATTCTGCCACACTTTCCGGGGGGGTGCTGCCCCTAGTGGGTAACTGTGTTAGGAGCCCCATCCCCAGAGCAGCTTCTAGATGCTGCGTGTCCGTTGAGGGAAGCAGAAGCTGTAGAAGCCTGCTCTGCTCTTACTGGCCCTGACACTTGCACGTGGGATAACATGAGATGTAACCAGGGACATCCTCACTCTGAACCCCAGCACTAGTCGGTAGGGCTTACTTGATGTCAAAAAGAGAATAAATATAACGGTCCAGGTCCAGTGAAATGGGTCGTTTCTATTCCTTGCATGCGGAACTCAGGTGCAAGATCGAGAAGAGCTACAGGCTTATACTACAGACTTCATGGAGTCATAGATAAAATTAAATCCATCTCTTCATTTTAAAGAAGTTTGTGCTGAGCTTTGAAATAAACTCTGAACTTGCACTTCAATCCCTAGTTTATTTTCGTAACGTTTATTTTTGAGAGAGAGAGAGAGTATGTGTGTGTGTATGTGTATGAGCAGGGAAGGGCCAGAGAGAGGGAGGGCAGGGAATCCAAAGCAGGCTCTGTGCTGACAGTAATGAGGCTGATGCAGGGCTCAAACTCACAAACTGTGAGATCATGAGCTGAGCTGAAGTCAGCTGCTCCACCAACTGAGCCCCCCGCCCCAGACGCCCCTTAAATCCCTCCTTTAAACTGTGATTCTCCAGGAATATTTTCTCCCCTTCTCCCAAAATGTCCCTGCGACCTTCTTAGAACCTTTATAACATGCTTTAAAACTGCATTTCATTCATTCACTTGGCTTTCATAAAACATTGAGGATGGATGGAGAGGAGAGGCTCTCCAGTCAACACCTCATTTATGGCCGGAATCCACCTGATTAGGCCATTCAGCCTGTGCTCAGATGGCTCTAGTGAAGGAAAGGGCCCTCCCTGCCCGTGGAGGTTACCTTGGTTTTCGTTTTTTGTTTTTTGTAGTTTCGACCATTAGAAAGTTCTTCCTTGAATAGAACTGCACCCTGGCTCACAAGCTTCCACCCCCAGACCCCAGGCCTTCCCCTTGGGTGAAACAGGGGGAGTCTGATCCATCCCATGAGACAAGATTTACTATGTTAGGTGAAAGAGTAACCCCCAAGTCTTCCTGTCTCCGGCTCGAGCCCAAAGCTCATCCATCCCTCTCTCACGCGAAGAAGCCCCCAGAGCCTCACCATCTTGGTTCACCCTGCAAATGTGGGTCTCAAAGGGAAGGTAATATTCCAGATGCAGCCCAAGCAGCGTGCTCTGCACACAGGGCCTCCCCAGCTAATTAACACAACGTCAGCTGCCTTCTCTTTAACAGCCGTGCCACACCCGACACCTGTAGTCCATCAGAACTGCGGGGTTTGTGATGTCGCACTTAATCCAGGTCCTGTCATCCTTCATAAGGGTTCTCTCTGCCAGCTTGTGACCTCTGTCAGTTTTATGAACAAGAGCAGGACCTTCAGAAAATTCATCCAAGTGGTGATTAACAGCCTTGCACGGCAGGACAGAGCCCGAGGGCAGACCCCAGCAGTCACAGAGAGGGACCCACGTGGCCAGCGCTTTGTCACCTCCTGGAGGGAGGAGGGGGATCAGCTCAACAGCAATGTCATGCAGCCCGTGTGGAGTGTTATCTTGCCACGTGGTCAGGAAGAAGGCTCTTGATGGACACCACACCGAAATCATGAAGGCACGTTGGCAGCACACTCTGATCTACTTCCTAGTCACATTTCAGGAAGAGAAATCAGTTTGTCACCACGCACTGGTGCTCCGAATTCATTCTTTTGTTTTCTCTTGGGCATTGAGTGACAGCCTCCTCTTATATATCTACATTCATGATGTCCTGTGGCCACTTAGAAAACACAGCCAGTTGTCCCCGCATCCCCAGATCAGCGAGTGGGGGAGGCTAGGGTAACACGTGGTGGCCCTATTTTGTTCCCGGGTGAATGAAGACGTGATGTGTTCACAAGTCTGTAACTGTGATTCCATGGGGGGCTGCTGACGGAATTCTCTGTGGGGCAGAGCCGGGCTCAAGCCGTGTGTGCATGACCTCAATGGCTTAGCGCCTTGAGTGACCTGCCTCTTCTGGGGCTTTGCCTTTTTGCTTTCCTTTCCAACTAAGAATATTCACGCTACTTCATTTTCATCTGATTTTAATCCAGCCTGGAGCTCCAAACAGACTCTAAGAGGTACATGTGAATAGCTCTCCATGTCACAGTGGATCCCTTTGGTATTTTTAAGCAGTCAGTTGTCAGACCAAAGAAGCTGTAAGATGGGGTGCCTGGAAGTGTCTGACTTCCGCTCAGGTCAAGATCTCACAGATCGTGGGTTCAAGCCCTGCATCAGGCTCTCTGATGTCAGCACAGAGCCTGCTTTGTTTGGATCCTCTGTTTTGAATGAAGATCCTCTGTCGCCCTCTGTCTTTGCCTCTCCCCTGCTCGTGCTCTCTCTCTCTCTTTCAAAAATAAATAAATGTAATTTTTTTAAAAAGAAGCTCTAAGAAACATTTGAGCAGCAACATTCAACTGTGTTTATTCTCACGTCTTCTCAGAGGTGGTGGCTCCCTCACCACACGTGCTAGGGGACCAGCACAGCCTGCCCCCCCGCCCTCACCCCCTCCTGCACCTGCTCTCTGCAGGACCCTTGCTGCCACAGGAGCCTCTGTGCTGTGTGATCTCTCTCTCCGTCCATCTCCTCCGTATCCCACCATCAGCTCACCCATGTTAGAGACAGTGAGCTCAGCACCTAACATCACCCTCGATTGCCCCCCTTTGCACCAGAAATCAAGAACATTCTATATTCCCTTTCTCCACCTCCTCTCCTCCCATCTGCTCCCTATTTTTAAAAATGCAAAATATATATATTCCATGTATATATATATGTTAGAAAATATAATCAGGAATGAGAAATTAGGGGCACCTGCGTGGCTCAGTTAAGTGTCCGCCTCTTGGTTTCAGCTCAGGTCGAGATCTCACTGTT